CCTTCCCACGGATGCGATCGTCCCTGATCCCTTCGGCCCCCAAACCGGCCCCGAAATTGAGGTCTGGGGGAGATTAGCATCGCTGCGGTTGCCCCGACGGGAACGCGGAGGGTGAAATTCTCTTAAACTCTTGTTATTTATGTGTAATTTTGCCGCCCGTCTCACAACAGCCGGGGCTGAGATCGCAGTTAATTAGCTTGGGATAAAGGAATTGCCCGAAATTAAACAAACAAACAGCATCGCCGTCTTCGCTCGGACTGCGGGAGGGGAGGGCTGGCCGTCGCGGGGCGCGATTTAATGAATAAAAGTTGATTTTCGCCTTCGTGCTTCGGGGGAGCTTGAGGGAAAGCGCATCCTTTTGCAGAGAAAACGCTCGCGGTGTTGGTAACGATCCCGGCACCCCGGGCTTTTATGCGGGGACCAGCTCCGGCAAATCCTTCTCGTCCCGGGCAAAGCACACGATCGGACCCACAGGTATAAAATACGGCCAGTGGTGCGGGACAGTTTAGAGTCTTTTGTCAGTCGCGTAGAAGATTTAAATCCCCGGGTCTTAAACGGGATTGCTGCTCTGTTTTCTGCTGGTAAAAATGCCTAAAAATCCCCTTTCCAGGTGCAGATGCCAACCTTCTCCCCAGGGTTGCAAGCTCCGGGTGTCTTGATTTGACATCAGGGGGAGAGAGGACCGCTTGGGAAAAGCCTCTGCATTTGGTGCCTTCGATAAAATAGTTAGAAAGGCACATGTAAATCAGTGAAGCTGAATCAGGGTGGCTTGCCCGGGCTACCTCCGAATTTACCCAAATTTTCATCTCTCGTGTGATCTAAGCAGGGACGTAATAACTGGAGGATTTGCACCATTATATTTTGTTTTAAAACAAGTGGATGGATAGTCTGGAGACAGAGAATCACTTAAAAGTGAGTGTGATAAAGAACTATGGTTTTGGTTTCCCCCTTTAATCATAAGGGGAGGTGTTTGGTTTTTTTGTTTTGGGGGGTTTGGGGTTTTTTTTGGGGGGGTGGGTTTTTTTTCAGATTCTATTTTGTTTCTGCCCCTGTTGCTGCTGCTGATTTTATGTTGCATCTTTTGGGGAAAGAGCTTACCATGTGTATTTGGATAGCCAGAACAGCAGGAGAAACTTTTACATTATGTTTCACCAGGTGTCTTTTCCCTTCTCAGCTTCCTTGCCTTTATGATTTATAACAGCTCCGCATCTCTCTGGAGAAGGGTTGCACTGGACAATGCTGTTTTGAAGCCTGGCCGGACAACAGGAATCTAAACCAAGCAGTTTTGGGGGAAATCACAGCTAGAAAGGGCATCTGAAGGACAAGAAACAGATTTTTAAAAAGCAACTTCCCTCTGTGTTTGAAGAGCTAAGCTGAAAATGTTACTCTCAGAAATCACAACGAATCTGTCTTTATCCGTTTGCTCAAAAAACCCGCGATTGTTGCGGGAGGGAGAGGAGCAGCCAGCGGTATCGCCGCATCGCTCAAAATTGCGATTTTTGCTTCAGGGATTCGATGGTTTGGGGCAAAGGCAGAGCCATCTAGAGGACCAGCCCGGCTATGCCGAGGCGGGGAAGGCAGTTTCCCTCAGAGGCACGGTGTGCTGCTTTCGAGTTTTCTTCAGTTGATTTCTCTGCTTCCAACAAAGGAAGTGGATGAGAAAATAATGCTGAATTAGCTCTAATAAAAGCACGTGTCCTCAGAAAACTCCAGCTTGCTTTACCAAATAGTAAGGAACGTGAAACAAAAATAGCTTTAGAGAGGTTATTACATAGCCAGGATGGCACGGATATGCAAACCAACACTTAATTTAAAGAGTGGAGAGAATAAAGCTTTGATGGTGTGACGGCTGTAAAAAAGTTTAATTTTCTTAATGCGTTTATCCTGCAAGTAGCATGTAGTGCTGCCTCGAAACCTCGTGGGCTCTCAGTACAAACCTGTTGCTGTTCCCTTCTGCCAAGGCACGAGGCGAGCGGCATGAAGAGATCCAGCGCGCTGCCTCTCTGCTTTCTAAATGCTGCTTTTTTTTTTTTTTTTTTCCAGAGAGGTCAGGGAGATGTTTGCCTTTCAGAAACACACCGCCAAGCTGGCAAGCGAGGTGCCGAAATGCAAAACTGAAATGGGTTTCAAGGTAAGAGTCTGAGGCTACTGTCCAGGGTGGCGAGGAGGGCTGCCGGGTTGGGGAGCCCATGGCACCTGGGAGTCAGGGCTGAACCGTATCCCCAGCTGGTTGTGATTACGTGCAGCCTTCTCTGCCTTGGGAAGCGTTTCAAGATTCCCCAAGGAAAAGTGCTGCAGGAGAGCAAGGTCCTCCCCATCCTTGCCTTCTGCTAGCCACACCATTTGCTTCGGTGCTGTGCTTGTCCTCGTCCTGCGTGCGGCAAGCGCTTTTCCCCCAGCTAGGATGACACTGTCTTTGCCTCTCAGGCCCTGCTCCTCTGAACATGTAGGTACAGGCTTAACTTTCCTGTTGGGAATCTCAGGTGTGTACAGCTGAACACGGAAACCTGAAAA